CGTCAGGATGGATGACAAAGAGATTGAGATTGTTCACAGCTTCAGTTTGCTCAGCTCCACAGTCAACACTCTTGGCACCAGCAGTCAGGAAATTAAAAGACGTACTGAGATAGGAAGGTCTTTGGTTAGAGACCTCTCTAAAGTACTGAAGAACAACGATGTCAGTCTGGAAACTAATATGTGCCTGATACATGCTATGATCTTTGTAATCACTTGCTGTGCATCAGAGACCTAGACAATGACTAGGGATGAGAGAAGGAGAATTGATGCTTTTGAGCTATGGTGTTGGAGAAGAGTAAATATACCATGGACTGCTAAGAGAACGAACAGGTTTGTCCCGGAGAGTATGAAGCCAGGCTGCTTCTTGGAAGCAAGGATTCTGAAGCTTCATCTGACATACTCTGGACATGTTGCAAGGAGGGATCATTCCTTGGAGAAGGACATCATACATGAGAGGGTGGAGGGACCCTCGATGAAACAGATTGATTCAATGACTGGGGTAATGGGAGGAGGTGTGTCAGAGACAGTGAGATTGGCACAGGATAGAGCAGGGTTTAGGGCTGTTGTATATAACAACACTGCAGTGTTTCTAATAATTGCACTTTCCATTAGAACAACAGCTTTCACAGGATCCATTATTCTCACTTTATCTTTTAAAATCATTGGCCAACTGTGACCTAATGCTTTTCTAGTGATCAATGGCATTTCACCTCTTATGGATCACCTAAGAATTTCCATTTTATTTTTAATCATCATCTCTGATTCTTTGATGCATCAGTAGCACCTGCATCAGATCTACATTTTGCAGACAAGGTTACAAGAGTTAAGTAAGAGGAAAATACAAGCCAAATAACACAGCGTTCAGGACAAAGTGAATTTTCGTGCCTTGACAAACTGCTGAAGTCACAAAATGTTTAAAATGATTGTGGTATGAACCAATGTATTTAATTAAAAATTTTAACACTATTAGCTTTAAAGTATGAATTATCCATAAGTAGAAAGTTCTTAACCTGGGAAAGAGTAACTATACACCAAACCTGTAATTCAAAGAAACAAACAAAAAAGTCCCTATAAATGTGTTGCTCATTAAAGGGTCTAAAAATTGTTTCCTTATATTAAAACTGGTAGAGAATGGTAAAGAAATAACATTTGTTGTCTTTCAAGAATCAGAGGCAAAAAGAGTTCAGTAACTGAGGGAGGATGTCAGCTAACAAAAACAGAAATTAACAAACTCTGAAGTGCCCATTATGAAGTGTGTTCCAAAAAGTGAACTGTCTTGTTTTGGTTGAGGGTTCGGTGTGGATTGTTTGGTTGGTGGTTTGTGGTTTTTTTTTTTGTTTGTTTTTGTTTTTAAATTTATTATTAATTTCAATGAAAATTTACAGAGACTTTGGATTTCCATTGATTCATTGTTGAAAGCCTCTTGTTTAGCATCTCTACGACCTGGAGGAGGGGCTGTGTATTTACGTTTCCAGAATGGAGGCTGATAGGTGTAGAAGGTGGATTTGGAAACATGGGGTTTCTTGTTCTAGTTGAGGATCAGGATGGACTGTTTAGTTGGTTGTTTTTTAGTGTTATTATATTTCAGAGGAACATTAAGTGGTACAGCACTCTCCTGTCAATTTGCTGTACTGTGGTAACCTGGGTTTGCTGTGATGCTGAACCCTATGCCACTCGTGTGTCAAATGCCATGATGGTCACCCATGGTGGACAGTGTTTGCTGGCGCTCCCAGATTGATAGATTTAGAAGCACGAATGGCATCCACTTCTAAATAACATGCCTCTGGAAACTCTATGAGCTTATTGAAATCATGATAATTATAGAATAGCGTTCAATCTTTTGTCCATGGGGTCGCTGAGTCATGCTCGACTTGATGGCAATCAACAACAACAATGATGAAATTAATAACAGAGGCAAAAATTTTCAGTTGACATTAAAGCCATCAGGTATAACTAATAGGGAAAAGGATATCCACTTGGAAAAAATTCCAAATGTCAAGTTTTTTGGTATTTGGTATTAAGTCACATACATACATACTGCTTCCACCTGAAGGAGTAAAAACTTTCAGGAGTAAAAACTTAACTTTACCTTGAAAAGGAAATCAGGTAGTGACCACAATGAGTAACTTGTTATTTGCTATTATGTGCTACTGAATTGGGAAACACCCATAAAGGACCCTCCAAGTGGGTTTCAGAGGCAATAAATCACATGGAAGGAAACTGTCCATCTTTCTTCCACGGAGTAGCTAGTGGATATAAATTACATGCTTTTGGATTGTCAGCACAACTCCTTACCACTAAGCCTCCACAGAAAGGATAAGAATCCCTTTTGCATTCTCAGGAAACAAAATGTTTACTCCAAAGAAATCCCTGAGCAAAATGAATCCCAAAATGATTTTCCTGTCACCCAAAGTTCAGAAGGTGGACTATGGAAGCCACGCATTCTTTTTAATAAGACAACTAGTATAACAAAAAAGGGGACTGCTCTAGATTTAAAAGGAGGTCACAACCAGATATTATATGGAATTAAGAGTAACATGTAGTCTTGTACTGGGTGGTTTTGGTTTGGATAAACCAAAAATATAAAGAGTAGGGGAACAACTGAATAGAGACAGTACATAAACAAGATGTAATGACAATGTGAAAGTAGTTATGTAGGAAAATATTTTTTCTATTTTAGACATACATAGTAAAAATGTTTCTAGTCAATTCAAGAGCACTTCATTTAATCCATTCCTTTAGAGGTACAATTTAAGTAATATTCTAAAACTAGTTTACTATTTGACAATACATTTATTTTTAAAAATCACTGAACTGATGAATGCTATGTAAATTATTGAATAAAGTTGGTGGAGATAATTTTCAAAGTGGATTTGCTCATTTTTGTCAATTATTTACTCAATTAGTGCTAAACCATCTATTATATAACCAAGTTTTAGTCACTTAACATTATTTTACCAGGACAATATTCCTAAGTCATAAAACAGTTTTTGAAAGAAAGAAAACATATACATGCCACATATTTTGATTTATTTCTACATTTCATGAATAATTTTATGATATGTACAATGCTAAAGGCTGAGGTTAAAAAAGAGAACAAATAACAACATGAAAAAAACCCCAACGGATAAAGTATGATCCCTTCTGAAGGGATCCTAAGTTAAGAAAACTGTCTGATGGAAGATAAATTATTGAAGGCAAAATGGCAGTATCATAAAAAGACCAATGAAAGTTTGCTGGAATTACAAAATATACCTTGTGTAGGTGTTCTTGAGCCTTCTTTTGTTTTTTCTTGGGAGCAAATATCTGATCATACTCTTCTGTGTATTCCAAAAGCCACTTGCTTGGCTTTCTAAGGCGTTTCTTCTCTGATCTCACAGCTAAAAGAAGAGAGGAGTATTAAGCAAAAAGCTATGCAAACATTGCTGCCATGCATCTACGTCTATTTTTCAAAGATACTGAAGAAACATGAAAACATAAGCCCTCTTCTGTTAAGTCACTTTTCCATCAAACATCTATAAATTGTCAGGGGGGGAAAGGCTGCTATCCTTCTCCAACAGAGTAGTTGGTAGATTCAAACTGGCAATCTTTTCATTAGCAGCCCCAAAGCCCAATATATTATGCACTATGCTGCTAGGGATCCTTTAAAGGTACAGGGAAAGTATCTAGAAAATAACCTGTAGCTTAGCACCAAAATGCTCAACACTCATACTCTGCGGGAAAGAACATGCAATAGTTTATGGAAACTGAAGCTCAAATTTGGAAACACAAAGGAGGAGGAACAGCTGTACGAAGAAAATAGTGATGCTATGAGATGGACTGATACAGTAACTGGGGAAATGGAGTTTGGTGTGTAGAAATTAGTGAGACTGGCTCAGGGCAGGGTTCGAGCTGCTGGACATAGGGTTGCTACGGGTGACTCAATGGCTCATAACAACAACAACAACAACAACAACAACAATCATTTTATTGTGCTTCTGTAGATGTTGCAGTGTTGTTTTTAAAAATACAACCACATGCACACAAATTGAAGGATTTTTGACAAAACTGATTCAAACATGCAAATCAGCCCCATTTTTCCAACAGCATGTGTGCACATCATGTCTCTATGTCACATTCTGATAAATCTTATAACATGTCAAACTTTTTCATAATGTTACTGCAGCTATCCAAAATGTTAGCAGCACAAAGCAAGCCATAAAATCTTCCTGAGATGAGCCATACAAACTGTAGCAGCATATAGAAAAGCAAGCGACAAAATCTTCACTAGGACAAGATATGGAATTAAAATTAGATTCTATTAACTCTATTAACCTCATATAGCAATATATCTTTTCATTTTTATTATTAGAAACTCAAATGCATCAGACATCAGAGTTGGAACCAACTCATATCTGACCCCCCAATAGGTTTTCAGAGGCTGTAAATTACACTGGAGGAGACTGCTCATCTTTCTCTCATAGAGCAGCTGGTAGATTCAAACTGTCGGAGAATTAACACCTTTGGATTAGCAGCACAACTTGCTATAGTCTACAGGACTAGAGCTCAATTTTTCAAAATTATTGTTAGATATTTTACTGTTAAAGCTGAAATAGTTATCAAAGTCACATTCCTATATAATGTCCAATAATTATGGAGCTAGTTAAATCCTCATTATTGCTGTAATTTAATGTTCAAAAAATTTATTGCTATCAAATCAGAAGCTACAGCTGATCCTTCAGTGGGTTTCTGATGCTATAAATAGCAGAAAAGGAGATTGCTCATCGTTAAACCTCAGAGCAGGTGGTAGATTTGAACCACCAAAGATATTCAGTCTTTGGGTTTGCAGCATTAAGTTTTTAAAATTACACCCAATGTCCTAATTTGGAGAGGTTTCCCAAGGAAGTATTTCAAAGTTAAAACTATCAACCAATCTATTCGTTTGAATACCACAACCTGCAAACAAATGTGAAAAATGTCTCTGAAAAAATTCAGTCCAAAAACATCTTGGAAAAAAGCTATGACTGTGAATAATAATTACTTTCTGCTCTAAGGCAAAGTTGTCATCATTAGACTGATCCAAGTTTTCAAGCAATAATAATAAGTAAAATTAAAAAATGAAAGGGAATAATGTGTTTTGTGATATGCAAGAAACTTATCCAGCCATGTAACATTCAAGGCTCCCTAGTTCTTACTTCAACCCTAGAGGTAGGTATATGCACTTAACTGCCAACCAAAAAATCAGAAGTCTAAATCCACCTAATCCACCCAGCAGCTCTGTAAGAAGTGAAACTGGTGATGTGTTCCAACAAAGACTGCAGCCTAGAAAATACTCTGGGCAGATCTAGCCTATGAGGAGGTGACATGAGTCAGAATGGCACCTAACAACAACAGAAATATTCTACTATTGATTTATAGTAACAATTTCACAACTTTTGAAATTATTACATTGTACACTTAAGGTACATGCCTTAGATGGCCTATAAACTGTACCTTGAGTAAAATTCTTTTACAAAGTCACATTCATCAATACTGACATAAAAAGCTTTCCATTAAAGTGGTGAACTCCCACAGAGAAACTAGAATATTAACAGCAGTATCAATACAACCACACAGATTCTCAGGGCACCCTGGTGGCATAATCCATGGAGACATGTGTTACTAATTCAAAAGCTGTTGTTCCTCTAATGGTTTTAATCTACCAACGATTTCATTTGACAAAGAAGGGTCATCTTTCATGCAATTCATAGCCATGGAAACCTGGAGAGCCAACTACAAGTTAACACTGAACGGACAACAATGAGATACACATTCTTATTCTGGGATCTCAGAATCAAAACTTTGTTTTTCAGTAATTTTTTTTAAAAATGCTATTTTGCTGGCTGAAAACCTCCATTTAAAGAATCAAGCAACTGGTAATAAAGTAATGAGAAACAACCATAAATAAGAACTAGCAGAAATAGTGCACTGAAGTTAGTTTTGCCCTGAAAATTTTTTGGTGACTCTCCTGTCGTGCTGGAGTTCCTGGGTGGTAACAACTGGTTAAACTTCAATCTCCCACCTTTCAGTTAGCAGTAAGTAGTGCCTCACAGGAAAGGCTCAGCAGTTTACTTGGAAAAACAGCCACTGAAAACCCTATGAAGCACAGTTCTACTCTCGACACATGGGGTCATTATCAATCACAACTGATAGGATAGCATATTTCACTTTAAAAAAATATTTTATCAATTTAGAGGAAATAAAGAGGTAAGAGGAACACATGAAGCCATAATATAGACATGAAAGCAGCAAAAGCAAACCGAAGGAATATCTACAGGAAAAATATTCAATAAATAAATTTTTAGGGAGCTCTGCCTTTTCTATTCATCTTTTCAGGATCCATGGTTTATTTTAAATCATGCTTTTCAAAGGCCTTTTTGCCTTTCAAAGCTGCATGGGCAGCCCTGACCCTTAGAGTAAGGTAAGTAAGGGTGGGGTCAAGCCTGTGGAGCCCGCTCCAAGCCCTAGCTTAAAATCCTTCACGAGGCTTGGGGATGGGAGTCTCCCTCCAATCTGGAAGTGGGTGGAATGGCTGGCGCCTCCATGGCAGCTCCTCTTGGTGGCAGTCAGGCAAGGGAAGTTTCTGGGGTCCTTTATACTGTGTGTTACTCTCCTTTTTGGCTTTCAAAGCTGCACGGGTGGCCCTGAGCCTTAGAGTAGGGGTAAGCAAGGGTGAGGTCTAGCATGCAGAGCCTGCTCCAGGCCCTAGCTTAAAATCCTATCGGATTTTAATTGTTCTGGTGAAACATTCTTCTAGGTCGGTAACCTTGGTGTGTCCACTTGCTGTACAGAGGTAACTCGTGGTTGCTGGGATAATGAACACTGTGACACTGATGAGTCAAATGAGAGAATGGTTACCCATGGTGGACAGTGTTTGGTGAAGCTCCCTGATTAAAACAAGCGTGGAAGCAAGAGTGGCATCCATTTCCAAAATAGCTTGCCTCTGGAAACCCTATGAACCTGGAGAAAGGACGAAAGTTACCACAGGAGGTGTCCAGGACTTTTGTTCATAGGGTCGCTATGACTTGCGTGCGACTCGAAAGCACTTAACAACACAACAACAAATAATAAAATATGAATATGAATAATAAATATAATGAATAAACAAAATATAGTAAGTTATCAAATCCAAAGATGTTTCTACCACCCAACCAGAGAAGACTGTGCCTTTGGGTTACAGCACAACTCCTTACTGACTATGCTACCAGAGCATCTATCTCTATTTTAAAATTGTTTTCTTGTAGCTCCATGGAGTCAAGAAATCTGAAGCTCTGTCTGACATACTTTGGGCAATGTTGAAAGGAGTGACCAGTCCTTGGAGACGGACATCATGCTTGGGAGGATAGATAAACAGAGCAAGAGACAAAGACTCTTGATGAGATGGGCTGATTCAGTGACTCAGGTAATGGGTGTAGGTGTGTCAGAGATGATAAGGTTGGCTCTGGATAGAGCAGGGTTCACAGCTATTGTACATAGGATTGCTATGAGTCGAAGGCAACTATTCAGCACATAACAACAACATAAACCATAAAAAGTAAAACAAACACTCACAAGGCCATCAGCCAGCTTTAATAAATTTAAAATATCACAGTGAATATTTTACTAATCCTCACACATTGTAGTATTCTCATTAATTTTAACCCTTTCAATAAGAAATTTTTCACTGCTTTGAATAATTATTCAAACAATGAGTAATAGAAGACATTCAGAATGAAATGGATAAAAAAAATCTGAGGTAATAGGAGTTTTTAGTCAATTAGTGGGACACATATATTCAAAGGAGGATATTGGTGTTGGTGAAAGGACCTCGGTTTTATTCTGAAGAATGCAGTTATACATCCATCCACCAGGTGGCAGAACGCATTAGAAGTAGAAAGTAAGCTTTCCATTAAACCTCAAAAGCAGAAAATGTAGGTAGGGTACAATGGTATAGAGGAGCTCTGGTGGCTTAGTGGTAAGAAACTGTGCTACCATCACAAAGATAAGCAGTTCAAATCAAGGTGCTATTCAGTGGGAGAAAGAAAGGTTACCTCCTCCCATGTGATTTAATGCTTTTTAAATCCCATTTGAAGGGTTGGTCCTGACTCAGTCCTGACTTGACAGTACATAGCAAAAGAGAAATACAGTTTAAAAGTTAGCAAAATCAATGTATTTTATGACTGGTAGGAATTATTCCAGAAAATGTATATTTAATTCTTATATATTTCAGTATGAATCTCTAAAAAGATAAATTCTTTCCTCTCCAAACATATATCATACAGGAAAGTTAGAATAAAACAACGACAATAAATAAATTTAATGGGGTAATTAAGAAAGACTCATACAATAACACACTGCTAAAGGAAGTTTTCAAAAGATGTAAATAAATGGGAAAATGTTCATATCCATTATTTGGAAAACTTTTTATGGTGGGGTCAATACTAGCCACTGTTACAGAGAGATTTATGGATCTAACAAAATTCTACCAGTTTGTAAGAAATTTCAAGGCGCTCTCTGAACAGCAGCCAAGCATAAACTTGGGGGGTGTGAGTGGGGAGGGGTGGTGGGCAAAGTAGAAAGACTCTTACTTCTTGATTTCAAAACAAGTATGTTGTCGTTAGGCACCATCAAGTGGACTCTGACTCACAGTGATCCTATAAACAGATGGGATCCATGCCCTATCCTACACCATCTTCAAAATCGGTGCCACACTCAAGCCAATTGTTATACACTAACAAGGGGATTTCTCAAAGCTGAAGACAAACCTGACAGCACAGAGCTTCTCAACTACCTGCAGTAACAGACTATGCCACCAAAATGCCATAGTCTATGGGGAAACGGAGCAAAAATGTTGAGACATTAAAAGAAAAAAGGAGCTAGAGTAAAACTGAATTCTACTCGGTCCTCAAAATTTGAACCCTTCTACACAAAGCCTTTTGTTCATTTCATGATGATCCTTAAATTTCCATTTATAATTGGTCTTTCCACTAAAATAGACAAATGGTAACAATGTTTTATTATCACTTACCCATATTCCTTCTATCTAGTCCTTACCTGGTTCTAAGAGCTCAGGCTGGGGAGTCAAACTGGGAATTCCTGGCTCCTTTTCCATCTCCTCTATGCTGGCACTGGTTTTATCACAAACATTCAACTGTGGTGCAGCTGAATCTAAGCAGCCTGCACAATTCGGATCTGTCAGAGTATCCTCTAGGACATTTGCGGAAGTAGGAGGTCTGTGCTCAGGTGGATCATCTCCCTTTTGCACTGGATCACCAGGAAGTAAAATCCCAAAGGCACCCTCTGAGTTTTCTTTCTCCCTAAATCTGTTAGTGCGCTTACGAGGTTTAGTGCGCCTTTGGTTTAAACGCTGCCACCGCTTTTTGGGCACCACTTGATGTACGCCATTGTGTTCATTATTCTCATTACTCATTTTAGAATCAAGTTCTGGATTTTTCCTGTTTTCCAACGAAGGATCTTTTTCAGGAATTTTATCAGGCTCAGACTGTTTGACCTTGTTATCAAAATGAACATCAGAAAAATGGGCTGACTCTCCACCTGTTACATGGGCTTTCAGAGGAAGGAGCTCTTCTTTACCAGAGTCTTTCTCCCTTCCCTGCAAAGAGACAATCATTGAGCTTCCTTCACTCTCTTTATCCCCCTGCAGTGCAACCTCAAGAGTCACACCTGGAAGACGGTTCAGTTTTCTTTTGCGCTCTATCTTTAAGGCTTTCCGGTTCAACGTGTTCTTTCCAAATGGGACTGAAAAACCATCCTGCAATTTAGATGGAGGCTTTGATCGCCCACAGTTGCGCCGAGTAACACAATTTGAACGACTTTTGCCAGAAGCAGAGAGGTCTCTTCTGTGAGACACTAAGCTAGGTAAGGAGGTAGATAACTCCCCAGACTGTACATTTTTGCCCCCATTTGGGCTTGGACGGGTTGAGTCCTGAGTACCATCTCCATTTTTTTCTGAATTGTGGGTGGCACCTCCTGAAACCAAAACCTTAGACACCCCTGAAGGATTACTCGTAGAACAATCACCAAGACCAGGACTTCGATAAGACACCAAGTTTTGCGAAGTCATCAATCGTTGCTCCTTGGTCTTACTATCGTGCATATCTTTCAACATCATCAGCAATGTACTGAATTTGTAGTCTGGTTCAATAGGTATATGATTCTGGCCAGAAGCAGAAGAAAAAAGTAATGGTTTTGATGGCTTTGCTGTTCCAGAGTCACTGATATCATCACTTAAGGTTCTATAGGAAAGCTCCTTTAACTCAGACAAAACATGTTTTACAACTGCTGTTTCTATATCATTCGAGTCCCGGGTTTTCTCATGCATGTTGCTCAATAGTTTTAGCCCATCTACTTTCCCACTTTTAGAAACATTGGCCAAAGGAGAACATTTAATATCAGAAGAGCAACATTTCAAGCTGAAGTCCTCATTAGTCACAGGAGGTTCTCTCACAAGTGGATTTTCTTTGTGTTTGCATTTTATACTTCCAACCTTGGGCTGTTTGCTTTTTGAATGTAACAAAACTTGATTTGGAGCTCCACCTTTTATTAGTGAGTTCTCATTGGAAATACTTGATGAGTTAAATTTTGTAGAAAGAATATCATTTCTTAAGTCTGATGGGGGCTTGCATGTAAGGGAAGATGTCTTAAGATCAGAGAGATTAACCTGAGGTGTCTCAGTTCCAGGCTCTGCTGTCTTAGGAGAATCCATTAAGTGGTCTGTATGTGCACTGGTAACAGAGGACTTCTGCTTTGCTTTTACTCTAGTGTTTGTGGTAGGAAATCTAGAATACTTCATTTTTTCACTTTTCTGTATGGGTAATATACTCTCTGTTGTATCAAAAGCATCTGTAATTTCAAGGACACTATTATCAGACTCAGAGCTATGGTCTATAAGATCCAGATCACTGCTTCCATCATCAGAAGTGGTACCAATACTAATGGAATCACTTCGCTTTTCCTCATCACCTGCTTCAATATAGCAGAGCTGTCCCTTTGAATTGCAAACCAGCCCTCTTTGGGGTTTCTTCTTCTCTCCAGAACACTTAGAGATCAAGTGATCCTCAGATAAGCCCAGTAAAGAGTCACAATTTGAAGTCTCCAATTCCTTCTCTGCAGTGTTTTTGCCACAAGGAGAAAATAAGAAATTTCTTGGTGTTGTATTGGACCCTGTTAGGCTGTTGGCTATCCTGGAAAGTTCACTAGAAGCCTGCTTATCAGATATATCCCCAGAACTAAAGTTTAGGTTAAGGTTCTCTGGAATCTTTGCCCTTCGTTCTTCCTGATGTGCTTCATATTGCACGTGGCTCTTTTTCACACTAGTCCTTTTTGGGTTAACAGAGCTCTTTCTGACGCGCGACTTAGCACTCGGCTTCTCCTTCTCATCTGCAGAATGTTCAGAGTCAAAAGCCAGAGAATTCAAACAGCCGTTAAGCAACAGATCATGTTCTGATTCAGGATCATTTGTACAGTCTTCAAATGGCATATCCTCCTCACTGTCCAGCTTAATTGAACTTCCAACACAACGGTTCTTTGATCCTTTGGGAACGTCATACTGTTCAGCAAGACCAACACTAGCTTCCCATTTACTCAAAATTTTCTGAGGAACCTTAAAGGAGAAAAAGAGAAAAAAAGTTATTATTTATTTAAAAAATAAGAGATGTGATTATGACATATTTTTAAATAAAAAGCTTTCCCTAACTTTACTGCACTTCTCTAAGGCCTCTTAATAGGACTAGTCAGATGATTAGTATTCAGAGATTACCCTGAAGTTACACTCAGCAAACAAAAAGTAGAATAAAACATTAAAACTGAAGGAAAACAAAATCCATTCTAAAGCAAGAAACACTTCTGCCTACTCCTTCAAATCTTATAATCAGCACTGATTTTCTTTCTGATTTATAAGGGGAAGAACATGATCAATTACACAACAAAGAAAGCTAAAGAAAATGAATATGGGGGAAAAAACCCCCAAAGAATAGAAAGAATAAACAAATGAGATTCATCTTTAGGGGACTTGAAATTTTAACTTCTTGATGCCCAGGGTTATTGCATGATACATACAACCTAGTTTGAAACCAAACTCTCTCCTGGGTTTTCTCAGGTATTTCTGATACGTATAATAAATCAGACAGACAAAATTTTGTTTCCTCATAGCATGAGGACACTGAGACTCACTGAGTCCTGACAGCAAAGTGGTTAAAGAATTTGAATTCTTATCAAAACATTAATGACTTGAACTCATCAGCTGCTTGACAGGAGAAAGATGAATCTGAATAGAATTTCAGTAGAATCCTCAAAACCTTATGTAATGTTGCTGTGTGTCACGAGTTGGAAGTGACCCATAGCTGACCCTCCAGAGGGTTTGCAGAGACAGTTAACTGTACTGTAAGAAACTGCAAATCCTTCTCCCAAGGAGCAGCTGGTGGATCTGATCTGCATACCTTTGGGACTGATTACAGCGCAGTGTCTTACCACTACGCTACCACTATTCCTACAGAGTCTCTATGAAAAGGAATCAACTTGATGAAGGTGAGTCTTTTTTTAATAACTGCATTCCTTTTGATAATAGCAACACACTGACTATCTAGTTTAATTTGTTTCTCTCAGTTTCTCATTCACTCACTCATACTCATAACTATAATCAAAGTTAATATATTTTTTAAAATGCTTTCAAAAGGAAATGAGTATATTTACATAATTAAGGGCTAAAAACAAAACCGTTTTTAACACTTCCAACTAGCATCAACTAAACAAGACATATGAAAGGATGCAATTTGCTTTTTTTATCCCAACAGCAAAAGATTTCTTTAAACACCAGTCTTATAAGAAGTATATCAGACTTTACTCTAATCCTCACAATAGCTCCAAAAGAAGACTGGTTTTAAAGGGGACATTATCATCAACAAAAGAATAGATAGAGAAGCTCTGGTATATTCACACAATGGAATACTACGCTGCACTTAAAAAAAGGAACTCATGAAATACCATACAAAATGGGTGACCCTGGAGGATATTTCACTGAGTGAAATAACTCAGTCACAAAAGGACAAATATTGCATACGGCTACTGTTGTAAAACAGGACTGACATTGGGGTTGAGGGAAGACAGAGAAGGAGGGGATGAATGATAGATATATACTGCACTGAAACAGATGAAGGAGATAACTGTTTAAAAGGCATATATGATTGGGTATTATTATCATGACAGGAGTCCAGGACAGGAGTGGACTTGGGGGAAAAAGACTGCATAACAATTAAAAAGTTTTTCTTTTACTTTTCAAGGAGAAGTGTGAATTGGGGAGGAGGGGTTGGGCAGGGAGAAAAGTCCAACAATGAAATTTCATTAAAATGAATAAAGGAAAAAAGGAGACATTAAACCTCTAAATACTAAAATAACAAATGGCAGAACCTGTACAATGTCTTCTCATTATCCTAACTATAATTAATCAAAAACACTCCAAGTACATAAACACAAAGGAATATGAAACAGAAACTACTTCCTCTCCTAGAATGGACTATGAAATACTGTTAAAGAAAATTACAACAAATTATTAAAAACCTGACTTAACTTTACAATAAGACAGCAGGTAAAAAGAAAGCAAAGCACAAAGCTTCACTGAAATATAACTAGGTAGAAAGTACCAGAAAAAGTCTTATCTTTCATACTTTAAGAAAAATAAGCTAAAATTAAGAAATATTTCTCTGTAAAGATCATCTTCTTCTTGCCTAAGATAAGAGAAGAACAGCCATGCCAAGTTATACTATTACTTCTCTGTATGGCATGGTAGGAGTTGTTGTTGTTGTTATGTGCCGTCGAATCGCCTGCGACTCATAGCGACCCTATGTACAACAGCCCTAAACTCTGCTCTGTCCTGTGCCAGTTGCACCGTCTCTGACAGCGCCAGATCATTTGTACACCTCCTCAAAAAGACTTGTCTCCTCTTGCCTCCCAGTCACACTCCTTCTGGATGTCCTAGTACCAAAGGCAACAGCTTGTATTACAAAAATCTAATACCTCTCCCCTGCTGCCTCTATGTCCACCTATCTCTAAGAAGACAATTTAAAAGACTGTCATGTTTTTTACCTTATGTCTATAACCTTTTTCTTTTTGCTTTCCTCTTCTCCTAAGGACAGGTAGCTCTTCAAATTGATGTCTGCCTTCAAACATGACTATTGCTTTTCCAGCCACCCAGGCTCTCTCAGAAGGGTCTCCAAAAGCTTCCACATAGTACTGCCGATAGGGTCTCCGGTTGGAAACTAGGTAAGAATAAAAATGAATGCTATTATTCTAAAAAGATGAATGTTGTTTTTATGTACTATAGAGTGATAGCAGTTTTTTTCAGAGGCTATATTATATCCACACAGGAGGAAATTTTCCAACTCTCTCCTGCACAACAGCTGCTGGATTACACCAATAACCCAAAAGCAAAGGTTAAAAACATAAATGTTCATCATCAATAGAATACACCACTGTTGGCACAAAAGCCACTCCTCTAATTAGAAAAGAAAAAAAATCATCGTACTAAATCATCTACAGAACAAAAAACTCGGAGGTAAGTTAGGTAAAAAGAAAATGTAATATATTCAGTTGATGACTTTATTCACGGGATTTTTAATTACGTTACAGCAACATAATCAATATAACAAATTATAGAAATATCTGGCAAAAATGTAGGGAAGAAGAAATGTTTCAACACAATACCATTCTGGCTGCACTGCAATCCCAGATGTGCGTGGTTCGAATCCACCAGATGCTCTGCTGGGGATGGAGGGACAATCTCCTCCTGTACCAGTCAGATCCCATTTGAGAGTACACACATACACACAGAAATAAAAAAAAAATAACATAAAATAAAAAATATTTAAAAAACCCAAACAAAAATGCAGTACCATTCAGGACAGTAGTCATGATATGCTAAAAATGTTAAATGCTATATAAGAGATTCTTTATAATAACTCTAAGAAGTACGCAGTTATCACACTAAAGTCCTATGACTTCAAAGAAAGCAAATACAGGAACAGAGCAAAAATGGGCTTCTAAGAAAAAACAGAACTTGATATCATTTCAGTAATATGAAAAGGAAAGTCTTAACAGTTTATTTTTTTGGTTGTCCAAAGTTCTCAGAATAACAAATACATGCACTCTGCGTGCAGTTATATTTTTACCATTTCTTAAAACACTAAAAATCAAATAAATACTGACAGAACTATATAAAGTATACCATACAGAAGGTGGCTGAAGGGTTAAAGGGAGCCTGAATCCACCAGCCGTATCTCAGTAGGAAAATGAGCAATGTGCTCCTGTGCGGTCCATAGCCTCTGAAACCCACTGGTGCCATTACTATGGCAATGAGTTGGTTTTCTAGTTGACTCAAGCTTTACTGATTATTTATTTTTTTTTTAAAAAAGTCACATTGCTTATTAAAAAAAAAACACACCCTTTTCCAAATTCCTTCCCACAAATGAAAACTCAAACATCTCTTTCAAAAGCCTATTTCAGTTAGAATGACAGAACTAGTAAACTGCTCTTCAAAACAGATATAAAGATGTATACCTATTCTGAAAATTCCTATAACCACAACCACTGGAATGAAAGCATTTTCAAAAATATTCCAGAAAAGGACAATGTGTATTATAAATAAAGTAGTTAGTTGTTCTGCTGTATACAACATATTTTTCAATAATGAAATAAAAAAAAAAATAATCCATTTAAACTTGTTGCCCTTAATTCCAACTTAAAGTGATCTCCAACTTAAGTCTTGGTGTTTCCAAGGCAATAAACTTGATGGGTGAAGACTACACATCTTCCCATTTACAACCTATAGGACATATGAAAACTGCCCCTCGGTGTTACAAGGCTCTAAAGAAAGAAAAAGGAATTTAATACCCAATCTATGTACATGATGAAACTCGGCTTGCTCACAGTGAAGAGGATTTGAAACACTTGCTGCAGAAGATCAAAGACTACAGCCTTGAATATGGGTTCTATTTCAACAAGAAGGAAACAAAATTCCTCACAACTGAGCCAATAGGCAACATGATAGATGAAGACTGAAAATGCCCATGATTTCATTTTACTTAAATTCACAATCAACACCCCAGTACCAGAAATCAGAAGACGTGTTGCACTGGCAAAGTTTGCAGTTGCACAGGGAAAATGATTTTTTTAAAAGATGACTAACTTACAAGGAAAATTATAACAAATTTTAACATTTTAAAAATTCAGCAAAAATGCAGAGAGGAGAATATTCTAACAATAAGATAAAATCATGAAAGTAATGGTGTATGGAATAGAGCACTGATCTGAACAAAAATACCAAGAATATGAAAAGTCAGAATCCAACGGATTACCAAAAAATTAACGTCTACTGAGAGCAAAGCTGCTCTTCTTGTTAGGTGCCACTAACTCAAGGCTCGTGAGTTGTGATGCAATCTTAAGAGCAAAAGATTGAAACCTTGTCCTATCCTGTACCATCCTTATCATCTCTGACACACTTGAGTCCACTGCTGCAGTCATTTTGTCAATCCATCTTGTTGAAGGTCTTCTTCTCTTGCTGACCCTACACAGCTTTCCAAGTAATAGCCTTTCCTAGTAGCATGCTCAAAATATGTGGTAATAACTTATAAGGAGCACTCTGGTTACACTTTTTACAAGACAATATCTGTTAGGCTTTTTTGGCAGTCTATTCAGTGCTTTTCTTCAAAACTACAACTCAAGACATCAATTCTTCTGCTGTCATACTTATTCACTGTCAAGTTCTCAGATGATTGAACAGACCATAGCCAGAACCAGACATACCTCAATCTTCAAATGTGTATCACTGTGTATCTGAACGGGTACTTGATAGCAGGCTTTCCAAAATCAGTATGTCTCCTGATGTCAAATGCTTTGCTCAGTGTACAGATTGAACAGATAGAAATGATACAACCCTGTGGTACACCTTTCTGGATTTTAAACCATGCAGTGTTCCCTTGCTCTGTTTGCATCACAAATTCATGGTCTAGATATTGGTTTCATAAAAGCACAAGCAAGTGTTCTGGGATTCTCACTCTCAATGTCAGCCAAAGTCTGTTGTGATCCACACTGTCAAATGTGGAATGTAGAAACTATCAAACAATATCATGTGTAAGCAGAACATTGTTCAAGATCACCCCAAAACAACTAAAACTATATTCACAGAGAACTGACAGAAGTTCAAGGAGGGTTTAGAAGAGGTAATGATGCCAGGGGGGATCTAGTTGCTGATGTCAGATGGATCCTGGTTGAAAGCAGAGAATATAATACATCTGTCTGTGTTTTATTGATTATGCATAGGCATTTGACTGGGTGGATCAAAATAAACTAAGGCTATCATTAAGAGCAAAGCTAGTAGAATGAAAATAGAGAATACTAGTTGTCAGTGAGTTCAGAAATAAGTGGCACATGTATAAGCGGAGAAAATAAATGATTCCTTTAAGATTGGTTATGAAGGGAAAATATCAGAAGGTTATAAAGGAAGACAAGATAAACCATTATAGGCAGGGTGGAAGTAATAAAGTGTAAAAAAAAGTTACTGGGAATCTTAAGGTAATGCAGTTGTTATGCACGATGAAATAAATTCTGGCTGACAATGACACTAAATGACAGAGGCTTTCCAAGACTGTAATTTTAGAAAAGTAGAGGGTGACAATTTTCCCTCACAGAATCAGAGTGGTACAAACCACATACCATTCAATTTGCAGTTGAGAACTTAACCACTGCTTCACTAGGGCTCTGACAATAGTTAAGTAAACAATGATTTATTTTTTAGTCCCACAGATGGTTTTAGGTGAGACAAATGGTTTAGGGGTGGGCTACAGAAAAATGGTGGTTTCAATCCACCCAGATACACCTTGGAAGAAAGGTCTGACTGCCCACTTTTGAAAACTCAGCCACAGACAATGTTACGCAGAAATATGAGGGCAGAGAGAAGAAAAGGGAGGTGGAGACCTTACAGAACATATTTTTACTTTGACACACACAGTCATCATAAATCAAACTCAACAACAACTGATTTCAATTGGTTGGATGCTATTCTTCTCACTATGAAAAGCTATACTAACTCTGCTCTGTTAAAACAGGCTGTTGTTGTTATAAGCTTATAGCTTATAAGCTGTCAAGTCACTTGCACCACATAGTAACCCAAAGTACAACAGCTCTGAAGCCTGCCCTATACTGAGCCGGTCTCTGTGACTCTGGCACACCTATCCCCACTGTCCCAATGTCTGTATCAATCCATCTCATGCATGGTCTTCCACTCTTGTGCTGTCCCTCCATCCTTCTGAGCATGATGTCCTTCTCCAAGGATTGGTCCCTCCTGGCTACATGCCCACAGTAAGTGAGATGGAGCTTCAAAATCCTAGCCTTCAAGGAGAAACTTGGTATCATCCTCTCCAAGATAGACTAATTTCTTTTCTTGGCAGTCCATGATATGTTGAAGTCTCTTCTCCAGGATCACAACTCAAAAGCATCAATTCTTCTGTCGTCTTTAGTAACTGTCCAGCTCTCTAATGCACTGCAAGTAACTGTGAAGACAATGGTCTGGATCAGCTTTCTTAGTACTCTGGAGAGGTCCTTGACAGCAAATTTTCCAAGTGCAATTTGTCCTTTGATTTCATGACTGCTAGTGCCATGAGTATTGACTGTGGAACCTAGCAAGCTGTAACAAGAATCCTTTTCAAACAAAGCGAAAGGAGAATGCTTAAAATGTAAAGGAGGTAGACTAACCACATACATTTTGTTTTCTCCCCATATGAAATCCAGCAAAAACAACAGAAAAGGTATATTAAAAGCAGAAAGGACAGAGCATACAGAATGAGAAACGACAATAAAAACTTTTAAAATGTTGAAAGATACAGGGTGGTAAGAGAAAAAAAATATTCAAGAGAGTTGAATCATAAGCTAACAATAGGGGGAAAAAGCTCAAGCTGTCTATTGCCAGACTGGATTTTTTTTTTTTTTCACATAGCCAGCAGAAGGAGCTGGTGGTCTAAAGGGTTAGGGTTAAATATCTGTGCTATGAACACAAAGGTACACTGTTCAAATTCATCAGCTACTTCAATGGATGTTGTTGTTGTTATGTGCCACTGAGTTGCCTGGGATCCATAGTAACCCTATGTACAGCAGCCCTGAACCCTTCTGTCCTGAGCCAGTCTCACTAATTGCAACTCACCAACCCCCTTGGCCAGAATTACTGTATCAACCCATCTAATCCGGGGTTTTCCACTCCTGTGCTGTC